AAAAAAAAAAAAAAAAAAAAAAGAAAAAAAAAAAAGACAACGGTTGCCACTTTCCCCTTCCCAGTCCCACTGGCATGTTATTACATTACCGGTACGGAAGTGGTTAGGAGTTGAGCTGCCCATCCAGCCGAACCGTTTTAAATTCTGAAACCAGACACACCAATTTCTTCTGACATCTCATCCTCAATTATTAACTATTATTAACTCACACTCCCTTCAAATATTCCTCTTCAATCTCGTCAATTTTGCACTCGTGTGTCCTAGATTTCTCTCCAATGGCTGCTTCCTTCTCACTTCCACGGCGCCTCTATCTCTCCCTTTACAATTGGACCCTTTTGTTTGGATGGTACAATCACTCACTCCTTCTATTATCATATCATATCATATATAACTCTCTTTGTCTCTTACTTAATTTGTGCAGGTGTCAAGTTCTTTATTTTGTTCTCAAGACATTGAAGGAATCGGGTCATGAACGTGTTTACAATGCAGCCGAAAAGCCTTTCCTTTTAGCCCAAACCGCTGCTCTATTGGAGGTACTTGGTGCAAAAAGTTTTAATCTTTTTTAACTATGGACACACCCTTTTGTTTGTTTTCTAGGAATTCTGGTGGGAATTATCTCAATCTTCTCTAACTTTTTGAATTTTTCGGTGTGGGGTTGTATTGAATGGTGTGCTAGTTGCTTCATGGTTTGGTAGGTGAGTAATCCTTTGCTCAATATGTGGGGTTATATGATTTATGAAGATGAAAAATCATGCAGGAGTTAGTTAGTTTGTTATGGAATTCCCTTTTTTTTTTGTATGGTGAAAAGGGCTGGTGAGGTCTCCAATCACATCAACATTGCCACAGATAGGTTCAAGGCTGTACCTGACTTGGGGCATCTTATGGAGTTTCCCTGAGGTGAAGAAAAAAATTGGACTTTTTCCCCCTTTTCTGTTGATTCCATTTAACTGTTTATTCAGCCTTTAGTCATAATCTTTTATTGAAAAGTTGCCCCATCTTTTAATGCCAGATTCAGTCTCATGTGCTTGTTACCTCTCTACTAATCAGCTGGTCTATCACAGAGGTAAGTCTTTCATGATTGCTCTTTCATGGGACACTCAAATTATCTGTCTGGCTTTTGTTATTTCTTTTTTTATATTAGCTAGCCTTAACAAATAAGTTGGCACTACACTTCCTGCACGAACATGATAATGCTTACTATATTTTCCCAATAAAAGGATGATTAAGATATCTTAAGGTTAACACTTACCACACTGAGGGCGACACCAAATTTTCCAATTTTTTGGTGTAATATGTACTTTCCCTTGATTTTACATTTCCTGTTTGTGACTACAATACTAGATGGGATAAAAAATTGCAAAATCCACTATATATTTATTACTTATATTAATGATTGAATAGGATTTCCATTGTGGAACCCATGGTATATGGGGATAAATTCCCTTATAAGAGTTGACTATTAAAACGAAGGAAACTATAATGTGTAGAGGGTGTTGGTAAACATTATGAGAGAGAGAAAAACCCAAATAAGCTGTGATGATAAGTTGTTGATCACTAGGACTAGGGGAGATGTTTTCGAAGTTGCTCATCCCATTGTGTGGATTGAGATAGTTGTGGTGCTCTGAGAGCCCAATTTATTATAAAACCCTTCTTGGGAAGTTGTCCCTTGGAGTGGTCGTTGTATTTTTCTCCTCTAGGACTTAGTTGATCCCGTGTGTGGGCAAGGTCGAGGCACACGTGTATAAAGTGACCACGGTATAGGGGCAAGGTCGAGCTATATCGATTATAAAGTGACCACGGTATAGGGGCAAGGTCGAGCTATACCGATTATAAAGCAACCACGGTATAGGGGCAAGGTCGAGCTATACCGATTACAAAGCGACCACGGTTTAAGGGTCAGGTCGACCTATATCGATTACAAGTGACCAATTTGAGTAAAGTACAAAGTCGAGAACTTAGTTCTTAACCGAGTACTATACTTCCTTGTTTAAGTGGCCAAGTCTGAGAAACCATTATTGTGTTGTGGATTGATATCCAAATTTGTTGTGTTGTCAGTTTGATAGGACCTAGCCACTTAGACTACTTATCATGTTGTAGGAGATCTCCGAGTCAAAATGCGTGACGACGCATAAGTTGTTGATGAGTTGATTTGTTGGTGATATGAGTTGTATATTCGTTGTTGAATTGTTAAGCTGTGATTGTGTTGTAAGTTGAAATGATGTTAAGATATATAATATATATGTTGTTTATCTCATGTGTCGAATGCGAAGATGATTTTATAGTTGTTATGTTGCATATTAAATTATTATGAGTTGTTTATTATCTCTAGCTTACTCTTGCATGTTTCCATGTGGTTTGGACTGCGATGATCATACATTGTATGGGAGCAGGGCAGGGATAGACTGGAGATAGCTGCTAGAGGCCACAGGAGGTGCTTAGAGATAGATTTTTTTGTAGGCTACTTTATGGTAGCATATTTTGTTGTATATAATTGGTTGTTATTGGTTGCTTGATTAGCAACTTGTGTTGTAAAAATATTTTATTATACTCTTTTAATATATATATTTCAGTAGTGTAAGTTTGTTCGTAGTGTGAGGGTCATGGCGGGTCGTTACAACTTTGAAAGCCATTTTTGTTGCTTTGATGTGTGGAGGTCCTGAGTAATGTGATGCTAAAGACTTTGTTGGTCAATGATGATTTTAAACCTTCGTCCTAATAGGTATTGTCGCCATTTTTTAACAGCTTCAATTATGGCATACATTTCCTTTACATAAACTGATTCTATTTTCATCTTGGTGCCTAATCTCTTGTTGAAAAATATGACGGGATGCTGGTTTAGTGAGAGTACGGCGCCGACTACAATGGTAGAAGCATCAATTTCTAGTACAAACGGTTGGCTAAAGTCTGAGAGGCATAGAGTAGGATTACTTGTAATTTTTTGTTTAAGTTCTGTAAAGGCTTGTTGAGCCTGCTCATTATAAACACCCAATTTCGTCCAGGGAGCATACAAACAAGGAAATTGACCTCTGTTATGAAGGGAAGGAGCTCCCGAAGCATGCAAACAATAGGATAGGACATCAGAAGACCTAAAACCCAAATAAATTGGTTTTAGTGGCCCGGAACGGGTACACTTAATAAAGGTGTTTATTATTCTATTCTCTAATAAACATTTGACAGTTCAAGTCACTAATCCAGCAAGAAAAGGAAAAAGCTGAATTTAGCAGCTTTTTGCAAGCTATAGTGGCTGTACCATGATATAGGCTTCAAAACTGATTTTTACCCGTGAAACAATGTTGTTCACGAGTTTTTGGGCAAAGTTGTGATTTCTCCCCCATTTCCTAATGCATTTTATGCTTTGGAAACGTAACAAGATTTGAAACCCTTCTTCCTTGATTCCACAAAAAGTTACCTCTGTTTTGACTTTGTTTTATACCTCCCAGTTCACATTCTGCTAATTTTCATCTAATTTTTTATGTTCTTATTGTTCCTGACTAGATTGATGGTGACTGTGTTTGTAAAATGTGACTCATTATTTATCACGAAATTCTTTAATTTTAGGTCTTTTTTTTGAGTATTTATATGTGTAATATAAACTATTTAGTTTGTATTATAATATTTAAAATAGTGGCCATCCCTCTTCTTGCTAACCCGTTATGGCTTTTCCAAAGCTGTCTGCTACATGCCACTAAGATTGATAAATATTGTTAGAGCTATAATTGCATCAAGTGAATATATATTGAACTGAGTATCCTGTCATATGCTATTTTTACGTTTGTGAATGCACATATATGTTTTCATTTTCTGGCTGAATTGGAATTGCTGGTCGTCTCTCTTTATAATGAATTTAGGAATCTAATAGAAACCTAGTGCTAACTGATCCTATCAGAATCAAATTATACAAATCATAAAATTCATGTTTCTGCTGCCAAAATTGTAGAGGCAATCTTAAGATGTCACAAAAAACCTGCTGCAAAGTGGACAAATGAAAATAGTGCAACTAGAGAAGTAGAGATTGACAATGCGAGTAACTAGTTACTTGAGCATGTCTGTCTTGCATAAAAATGTTTATGTATAGATTTGATGGTTATAACTTATATGAACCTATTAGTATGAAATTCAAAGAATTGGCTGGGGTGACAGCAAACCTTTTGGCTTGGTGCCCTATTTTCCTCTGTAATTCCTCTTGTTTACAGTTTCCATATCCCTTTGTTTCCATGAAGTCATTGATTGAAAAGATAAGTAGCAAAGTATTATAGAAGATTAATATTCATCTTCTTTATTGTTTCCGTGCAGATCATTCGCTATTCTTTCTTTGGCTTTAAAGAGGCTTTTGGATTTTATCCACCATGGCTTTTGTGGCTTAGGTATGAAGTATAGTACTGGGGAAATCATGGAGTATAGTACTGGGGCAATCATTTTCTTCTCTTGTATCAACTACTACAATTCTTCCTTTGCAGATATAGCAGCTTTATAATTTTCTATCCAATAGGCATAAGCAGTGAAGTTGGTCTAATATACATTGCCTTACCATTCATTAAGGTAAAGAATCTGAATAGCAAACCACAAAGCTTTTAGAATCGTAAGATCTAAAGCTGCAGGCTGTGTGTTGTCTTTGTTAATAATAAACATATATCTAAATCTTCTACCCTTATATATTAATCATTTAAAAAAGGGAAAGTTTTCCAAAAAGACTTCCTCAATACACTGAGGTATTGATGAAGTTTGTTCATAGTTGGTTGATATTTTGAAACCTTGAACCATCTACAACTTCATAGCATTTCTAAAATGATAATAGAGATATGATGGAGAATAGTTTATTACTTATGAAATACTCTGGTGGAAATATTTGATAAGCCGGTTTCTCAATAAGTTGGACTTTCAAGTTAATGACAGTGTTTTTCAGGCGTCTGAGAGGTATTGTATAAGGATGCCAAATAAATGGAACTTGTCAATCGATTACTTCTATGGAGCGATTTTTGCAATGGCAATCTACGTTCCAGGCATGAACAAAACATCTTTCTCACTGCTGATGATGTCCTTAGGCTAATATTTATTTCACTGATCCTATATTTTAACTGATTGAATGGGATAATATTATGCAGGTAGTCCCCACTTGTATACATACATGCTTGGACAGAGGAAGAAGGCTCTCTCCAAATCGAAGATAGAATAGTGCAACATCGGTAGTTTTCAATTATTTCGGGTGAAACATAGGATATATACACATCTCATATCCTGGTTTTGATCCATATGTAGGTATCAGGGAAACATGCATTTCTTGGTAATGTATCATTGAGAGGTAACATGCCAGAGATAAATAAACCAATTATTTTGTTCTTCGGTAGCATGGTGCGAAGCAGCTGCCTAGAGTTTACTGTAGTTTCTCAACATGAAACACAAATCGTAGTTCAAAACAATTTGGTAGAAAAGTGACAAGACATTAGCTATTAAAATGCATGAAACGAGTGTAAATGCTTACCACTAAAGAGCTCTGCGTTTCATGAGAAGATGCTATGCAATGATTGATTTGGAATTCGGGATGTTAATCGTGGGAAATAAAGGGGATAGGGAATGTCTATTGAACTTGGTAAATGTGAAAAGCTAGGAAAAATCAATTTTAAGGTAAGAAAGTATCAAGCAAATAGAGCCGGTTTAAAATAAAGCATTTCCATATACATATGAAGTCACAATTAGAAATACTATTTTTTTCTTAGAGAGGTTGATCTTGTGAAAATGAGTTCTACTTCCTCCTTATTAAAGTTAAAAATAAATAAATAAAGCATGTCTTGAACTTAGGGAGTTAATGAGTTGATTATTTAAAATATTGGGATTGATTTATTAAAAAAAATTAAATTTGAGTAATTTTTTTAAACGAGTTTAACTAAAAAATTGAGTTTGACTTATTAAAAAATTGTTTGAATTTGTATAGCTTGATTGTTCTTCTTTTTAGAAATGGTAACAAGATATTCTTTTTAACACTCTACTATTGATTAAAATTTATTAAAAACTATAAAATCAAGAAAAATTTGTTAATAAAAGGTGAAATATAGAAAATTTGTGATTTTCAAAAAGTTCAAAAGTGCTGCTATCATTTTTCTCTTGCTTATATGAAGATATTTTTCAACTATTTCTTAACAATATCAATTTTGTATTTAATAAATATTTAACACTAACAGAAATTTGTGTTCAGCATGGGTTTGTGGACTTCAAAAACTATTACATTTCTGTAATCTCGTAAAAAAAATTATAACTTATTGATGTGTACAAAAATGTTAAATCTATGTATTTTTTTTATCATATAAACTTAAACAAGCTATTCATAACTTTATATTTAATTAAAACAATTAAACTTGATAAAACATTTAAAAAGTTGAGCTATAATATTTCATGAATAGCTCAACTTTTTTTTGAACTTAAACTTTTGAACACACGTGTACTTTTAAGGCATTCTTACTTTAAATGAGCATTATCTTTGAGTGATATGCACTCCTTGTAACTATATAAAGGAATAAATTGTTTTAATACATTTAAAACTACTAAAGAAGTTTAAAAAGTAATAAATTTTAGACAAATATTTAAGATAATAACTCAAATAATAATAAAAATAAAGGGACTAAAGATACAAGAGATTTATAGAAAATTGGATAAGATTAAAAAAATGAAATGAAAATTTTGGAAGCTGAAGATGCCAACAAGAGAGGCTTTTTGATCCAAATTATGCAAAAAGGAAAAAAAAAATACGAAATAAATTTTAAAAAACAAATTACCATTTTAGGTGGTTTCTGCCACATATCAAAATCCTCTGTCTCCAACTCCTGTCCCCAAACCCTGTCCCTTCAATCATAAAATGTCATCTCAATTAGATTACTTTTAATTTTAATTTTGATTTTTAAAAAATGTAACCGATGGTGAAGAGCACGTAGCGAGACACGTGAGGGCCGGCGAAGTACCTCAACGTGAAAAGCAACATGCTCATCTAAGAGGCAGCGAGATCAGGTAAAACACCCACATTTCTCTCTCGCAACGTGGATTCACCGACACTGAGAGTTGCACTGACTTTTTCTTCTTTTTGTTTTTTTTCTTTTCCAGGTAAAGTGTGATAAGTAGCACCCGCATAGACCCTTAAACCATCGTCGTTTAATGGGTTTCTTGCGTGGAAAGGAGTTTCACGCGGGGTGTGGTGTGGGGTTAAGTTATGACGGTTACATTTTTTTAAAATCAAAATTAAAATTAAAAATAATCTAATTGAGATGGCATTTTATGATTAGAGGGACAGGGGTTGGAGATAGAGGATTTTGATCCTTCTGCCACATGGCATAAATGTTAAATGGCATAGAGGAATAGACGTTTTGTAAATGGACAAAACATGAATGGATGACACACGAGATCCCCTGCTCCATTTGTTTTCTGACGTACCTATCATGTCCACTTCAACTTTTGATTGACGTGACGCAAGAGCTCCCATGCGCTTTGCTTGTCGTTTAAATGGCGCATGGGAGTCCTGCTCCATCCATGTAACGTTAGAAAATATATGTAGATTTTATTAAGTTTAAATATATTAGTTAATATAATTTGATTAAATTTGTAGTAAGTTATAAAACAAAAAAAATAGATAAATTTTTGAAAAAATAAAAACTCCTTACATTTATATGAACTTAGGAATTCAACTCAAACAAAATAATTTAGGCATGCATTATGAATATTGTTGTCCAATTATAAATTAATATATAAAATAAATTATTTGATTTTATTTACCAGTAAATAAATTTTTTGATTGATATAAAATAGATTATTTTTAAAAATCATTCGTTTTTACGAACTCTAATTGGTTTAGTGTAAAAAAAATTTACAGTATTTTATTTGAATTAGTCATATTTATAATATTAAGTAAAATAGTCACATTTATAATATTCAATTGATACATATATTCAATTATTAAATTTAAACTATATAATTTTTAGATTTAAGATTTTAAATTTTTTAAATTTAAAGATAATTTAATTTCATAATGATTACCAAAATATCCATATTAATTTATAAAATTATCTTTCATTATTTTAAAAACTGAATAACTAAATCATATATATAGATTTTCAAGTAAAATAGGTACATTTATAATATTCAATTAAACACATATATTCAATTATTAAATTTAAACTATATAATTTTTACATTTAAGATTTTAAAATTTTTTAATTTAAAGATAATTTAATTTCATAATGATTATCAAAATATCCACATTAATTTATAAAATTTTCTTTCATCATTTTAAAAATTAAATAACTAAATCATATATACATATTTTCAAGTAAAATAGTCACATTATAATATTTAATTAAATACATATATTCAATCATTAAATTTAAACTATATAATTTTTACATTTAATAATTTAAAATTTTTAAATTTAAAGATAATTTAATTTTATAATGATTACCAAAATATCTACAGTAATTTATTAAATTTGTAAGACCCGCTAGGTCTCACACTATCTATAGTATTCAGATACAAGTATAAAATAAAATATTACTACTAAACAATAATATATATAACGAGAATACACAACTAAAAAGTCTCATAATATATATAACTGAAAGTAGGGAATAATACCCTATACAACAATTAGGTAGTCAAAAACTATCAATCAACTAAATACAACGTCAGCTCTCCTCTTGAGTCCCAACCAAAAAGAAGCTCACCCAGTCTAGCAAAGCACCTAATCCTGATCTGCTCGCATACCAAGGTATGGTCATCATAATCCCAACCACATAGGGAAAACACGCTAGGGTAAACTCACAACAATAATCATAAAAAAATAGCATCAACATATAATAAACAGCAATAGAATTCTACTTTTAACTTGCAACTTAAAGCAACACAACATCTACAATAATAGATATACAATATCATCTACTAACAACAACATTTTCAACACATCGCATTTTATTCAAATTGCCCGCTTGTAATCGGTATAGCTCGGTCTGACCCCTATACCGTGGTCGCTTCATACACGTGTGCCTCGACCTTGCCCACACACGGGACCAACCAAGTCCTAAAGGAGAACAACACATCATCCACTCCAAGGGACAACTTTCCAAGGATAGTTTTTAAACAAATTGGGCTCTTAGCACTAGTATAAAAGACCCCTTTTACGTCGGGTATTTGAAGCCTTTTACGTCGGAAAAGCATCAGACGTTAATACGGGAGACGTAAATTTACGTCGCCTGTCAAAGACGGCGTAAATTTATGTCGGAGATTTAGCTAGCCAGACGTAAAAAGGGGCCCAAAAACATGCCATAGTTTACGTCGGACATGGTCTTGTCCGACGTAAATTCTGTTATTTTTTTTAAACGTTTATTGTTTTTTGATATACCCAATAAATCTTGTTACAAAATCTTGTCATTCTCTGCTAATCGTTCTCTTTCTTTGAGCTATGGACTTTGCTTCCTTATGGATTGCCAACTTGTGGCAGATGAGGTTGGGATCAATGCTTGGCATGTTTGCGCTCGACTATGCAAAAATGTAAGTGTTTCTTGTCATTTCGGCGACAACCTACTTTCGCAGCTCTAGGTTGAGGTGCTTAGTTTTTTTTTGTGCATTGCCCTTACATTTTCCCTATCTGGAACTCTGTCAAGTCATTAATGGGATTAGGTCGACAGTCATTAGTGTCTGACCTAGGGTCAAGATCGGTGAGTTCGGCTTGTATTATGTGGGCTACCGTGGGGGAGGATATGGCATCCCCAAGGTCATCTCGTCATGGTTTCTCGGTTGAGGGTGTCGAAACCTTCATGCTCTCGGTGTAACATTGTCGAGTTATTTTTTGATTTGCCTTGATGGAAATCACTTGGCCATCGTTCCCTGTGAATTTCATCGTTAGGTGCGGTATGGATACTATGGCTTCAAGCTAATTTAGGGTTGGTCGTCTTATAATGATATTATATGATGTGTTGGCATCGACCAACAAAAACTTTTATCATCACCCTCTTCGTCATGGGGGGCATCCCAAATGTAGTGAGTAATTCCATGTAACCTAGGGTGTGAACAAAATTAAGACCACTTAAAAACCTAGCAATGGTCAATCTTTCCTCTTCCCTTATTCCAGCCCTCATGAGATACAACTCCATCTTTTGTCTATACTCCTCCACACTCATGTTCTTTTGTTGGAGTCTTTGGAACTTATCCATAAGCTCCCTACTATAATAAGAAGGTATGTGCCTTCTTCTCATAGCACTACTCAATTCATTCCAATAAACAATAGGAGGGTCATTATGAAGTCGCCTTTCTCTTTCCAAGGCTGTCCACCAATACATAGCTTGTCCTTAGAAAGCTAAGGTGGCTAAGCAAACTTTTCTTTCCTCACTTACTTGATGACAAGTGAAAATTTGCTCCACTTTCATTTCCCAGTCCAAGTAAGCATCCACATCCTCTTTTCCATGAAAGTAAGGGAGATCAACTCTTGATTCCCTAACTTTGGGTTCCTTAATGACTCTTCTAGGTATGGGTTGGTAAGATGCATCAACATTCAAACTACCCACATCCTCTTGGCTTGTGGAGACATTGGAACCTTTAGTAGAACTTTTTTGACTTTTTTTCTTTTTAAGTTTTTCTAAAAGTCTTGCTTCTTGTTGCTTAATTTTGTTTACCTCTTCCTCAAGAGCAAAAAGTTTTACTTCTCTTTCAATCTTTTCTCTTTCTTTTTGAAGTACCTCTTGTTGTCTCCATAGTTTTAGTGCTTCAACCTCCTTAACAATTTGAGAAAAACTTTTAGGAGATTCAATATCACTATCACTTTGAGAAATATGACTCATGATTAAGCAATAAGAAGTTTATATGCTATGCAAAAGAAACAAAAAATATTTTTGGGCTTTTCTAATGTAGACCCCTAAAATTGTCCGGGTCGGAAATAAAGCTTGAAGACTCTCGAAGACTGAAGGAAGATCAGCCAGAAGGACTTCCAGAAGGCCCAAGGAGGGTTCTCTATAGGTCTAGAGGTCTTAGGATAGCTAAAATAAGAAAAGTGGGAGGAATGAAGCCCAATACGGCCTCCCAGAGGTTCAGTACGGCCGTATTGAACATTTTGAACTTCAATACGGCCGCACTGAACTCAATACGGCCGTATTGAAGTTTCTGAACTTCAATACGGCTGCATTGAATTCAATACGGCTGCACTGAACTTCAATACGGCTGCACTGAACTTCAATACGGCCGTATTGAGGTTTTTTGAACTTCAATACGGCCGTATTGAATTCAATACGGCCGTATT